ACCTCAAGCCCATCTTTAAACAAATAGTTTCTATTTCTTAACATTCTCAAATGTATTTTCAGTTACACAAAAACTCAACACATCCTGAAGCTCTGCTTGATTTACCTTCCTGATTTCATCTACAGCTCTTCCCCTTGCTCATTCTACTGCAATCATCTTGCTGTTCCTTAAACACCGTTCCCCCCTCACCCCACCCCACCTCCACACACACACTCCCACCTCAGGGCCTTTCACTCCCTAGCCTGTAGATACCTCCATAGTTTGCTCCTGTTACTCCTTTGAGCCTTTACTCAAGTTCTTTGCTGACCATCCTTTAAAACTGCAAACTTTCTTTCCCTCCCTATACTCTCTACCTAATGCTTTATTTTTCTCTATAGCATTTAACTCCTTCTAATATGCTATATAACTTATTTACACTGTTTATTGACTGTCTCTCCCACCAAAAGTAAGCACTATCAGGGCACAATTGTTGTGCTGTTTTATTCATTGCTATCCCCTTAGCACTTACAACAGTGTCTGGCACATACTGAGCACCTCAATAAATATTTGTTGAATGACTGAATGAACTCTGCAGAGCTAAAGAGATATAAAATTAATAGAGACTAGGGTGGCATAAAGGCTGCTTAATGAATATCATTTTATATCACTTTGATTTTTAATTATGTGACTGTATTACCAATATAGTTATTAATTAATTAGTTAATTAATTAAGAAAACCATGTATGGATATAAACTTTTTAAAATCTTTATTGTAGCAATTTTTTGCTACCTGGGATTAATAAAATAACTATATGCCTTGTCTTCCACTTGGGATCTTGTACTGTAAATTTTTTATTGGAGGTAGAGAGGAGAGTGTAAAACAAAATATGTATTATCTTCTAGCAAATAAATTGGAGACACAGAAATGAATAAAATGTGGTCCCTGCCCTCAAGAAATGCAATGTCCAATGGTAGATCAACAAAATCCTAACATAATCCGGGACCCGGTGGCTGCTTCAGGCTCTCATTTTTTTTTTTTTTTTTTTTTTTAGGCCCTCACTCTTAAGGTAAAGCAAGGCTATGCCATAAAGAATCCTTAACATATTTTGAATGGCAGATTTTACCAAACACATTCTTTGATCAAAAAAATATGGACATATTAAGTTCAACTACTTAGAAATTAAGAAACAGTGATAAATAACTCTTAGATCAAAGAAGAAATAAATTAAAATTTCACATCTAAAAAGCAATAAATATGAAAACAACTTATCCTGGTAACTATGGAAAAAAACCAAAACTGAACTAGAGGAAAATATAGAGTTTGAAATGCTGTCATTATTAAAGACTAAATAATAAGCTGGTTTTCAAAATGTCACTTTCTTATTTTTCAAAAATGATCCTTTTTTTCCCCAGTAAGGGGCATGCAGGAGGCAGCCAAACAATGATTCTCTCTCATCATTGATGTTTTTTTTTTTTTAATATATTTTATTGATTTTTTACAGAGAGGAAGGGAGAGAGATAGAGAGTTAGAAACATCGATGAGAGAGAAACATCGATCAGCTGCCTCCTGCACACCCCCTACTGGGGATGTGTCCGCAACCAAGATACATGCCCTTGACCGGAATCGAAGCCGGGACCTTTCGGTCCGCAGGCCGACGCTCTATCCACTGAGCCAAACCGGTTTCGGCTCATCATTGATGTTTCTATCTCTCTCTCCCTCTCCCTTCTTTTCTGAAATCAATAAAAATAAAAAATGATCATTTTACAAATATATTTTCACACAGATTTAATTAGTAGGTTTAGGATTTACTCACAGCTGCTTTTGCCTTGGATCCAGTAATGGGTTTAGAGCTTGTAGCAACTTATTCAAATTAAACATCCCAATATTGGCCTGATTTCCTATTTTATATCTTCTTTCATCATCAGATGTGTTTGGCACAAAATCTGTTTAACACAAAAATACTATCTTTATATAGTAAGGATAATTACAACAAAGCTGTTTTCTTCATTTTTTAATTTATATTTAAACTTAATAAATTTCTATTTATTAGGTAAAACTTTTTCTAACATTAAACATTTAACTCAAACGTAACATAAATATTTAATGTCCATACACATGAAAATATTTTATAATGTGAATATGTGCCTAATAGATGAATACATTTCTAACCTACAAGAATTTCCAGGTCATCAAATACAGACTTCAAACTCCAACTCAAGTAGTATGTTGTCCACAAAGCCCTCTCTCATCCTTCCACTGTGAAGTATTATATTAGTGTTACCTCCATTTTATAGGTTAGTAAGTGAGAGGTTAAGTTAACTTGTCCAAGGGCACAGAGCCGTTAAGGGTCAGATGCCCGAAACCAAACTCACGTCTGTCTGACAACATATTCCCTACTGTCCTTCAGGTCATCTTCACTAACATGTAATTCTTTAAGGGCAGAAGTTACAAAGAATTCATTTTTGTATCCCTATAGAACCTAGAAGATTGAGTACAACACAAAACTACCATTCTACAAATGATCTCAATTCTTTTACTACCCCATCATTGTATTAGCTATAACAGTTTATCTAAAATAAACTTGTGAAATAACGTATCTATATATACATATAAATCATACATACCTGGATTATAGGCTTCCATAAAACCAAATGGACCATAGTCAATTGTAATGGATAACAAACTGAAGTTATCAGTATTACAAACACCTAAAACAACAAAAATTTCCAAAAACATCATAAAATAACAAAAGCATTTTTTAACCGTATAAAATTTTCCAGAATGGAAAAGGTCATGGAAATGCATTTTTTTTAGAAATGAAGCAAAATTTAATTATCAATTGAAAAGTTTAAAGAAGACAAATAGTTTTATATTACAACTATATTTTAAAAATAAATGTAGCCTTTTGTTTTATACTCCTCTGTCCCCAAAGATTTTCAATACTTTAGTCCCAAGAAATAAAACTTCCTCTTATTTATTCTCAATTTCTAGCAGTTGTTTAAAATATATGTAATTTGGAATGGAACTGAGACTAGTAAAGGAATAAAATTAATTTTCAAAGGCTGTGAGAAGGGGAAAAGATGAAAATGTGGATACCTACCCACATTAACAGTACTGAGTTGCAGACCACAAGCAGTGTGGGAGGTGGGGCGAGAAAGACCGCTTAGGTGCAGGGCTCATGAATGGGGGCTGAGTGTGGGTTCGGAGGAAGCCATGGACACACCAGCCTAATATAGGTTCTTGGGCATGGTGGCACAGTGTTCAATAGAGAGGGTTTCAACCTTTTTCAGAGGAAGATGGTTCTGTTTATCAAAATGTTAAATGTACAGACTCTCTAACCCAGCAATTCCACTTTTAGGGGTTTACTTAAAAAACTAATCTTCGAGCCTGGCCTCAGAGACTCAGTGGTTGAGCGTCAAACCAGGAGGTCACAATTCAATCCCGATCAGGGCACATGACTTGGTTGTGGGCTTGATCCCTAGTGAGAGGCAGCCAATGATTCCCTCTCATCACTGATGTTTTTATCTCTTTGTCCCTCTCCCTTCCTCTCTGAAATCAACAAAAATGTATTAAATATTTTTTTAAAAACTCATCTTTGAGAATACAAAGATGTAGTTTCATGGTGGTCACTGCAACACAGTTCATAATAGCAAAAACTCTGAAACACCTGCCCTGTTTCCCATCTAGCCCTAAGAGAGATACAGAGCGTGTGAGAAAATTAAAGCCAGTTTCAAGAAATTTTGCAAGCCAACTTCAAGAAGTTCTGCAATGTGGAGTCCTCCTTTGGTATCTATCTAGAGACCTTAGTATATACAGAACTTGCTTTTCAGTTATTCATAGTTCAGGCAGATATTCCTTGTAATGCTACCTTGCTGTTTTTGTAGGAGACATATGAATATCATCAACATAGTCTAGAAAACTTGATATGAAATTGTTAATGATTATCCTAGAGAATGGAACTTAAAATGACCTATATTTTAAATTCTTTACCATAAGCAGGTAATCCTATATAATAAAAGCCTAACATGTTAAATGTCCGGTCATCCAGTCATCCATTCAACCAATCAAAGCATAATATGCTAATGATATGCTAAGACCACTCAACCGCTCGCTATGACATGCACTGACCACCAGGCAGCAGACATTCCGACTGGTAGGTTAGCTTGCTACTGGGGTCCGGCCGATCAGGACTGAACGAGACAGGCCAGACACGCCCTGGAGCCCTCTTGAGGTCCCTCCCCAGCTGGCCAACCTCCCCGGGCCTGATCGTGCAACGGTGGGGTTCCTTGGCCTGGCCTGCGCCCTCTCGCAATCTGGGACCCTTTGGGGGATGTCGGAGAGCAGGTTTCGGCCCGATCCTGCAGGCAGGCCAGGCCAAGGGACCCCACTGGTGCACAAATTCATGCACCGGGCCTCTAGTACTTTATAATTAAGACTTTAAAAAATACCTTTAAGGAAATCTAAATATATACTCATAAGGTCATTCTTATTCTATTTTATGTACACTATTCAATTCAAAACCACTTTAAACATGAGAAAATTGTTTCTCTGTTGCTAAAAACAAACTCATCCTATATAATAAAACCCTAGTATGCAAATTGACCGAACAGCAGAACAACCGGTCACTATGATGTGCACTGATCACCAGGGGTCAGACACTCAACGCCCCCCCGCCCATTGCCCTGCCTGCCAGTCACCCCACAGATGGCCCTGATCGCCATATATATTGGGAACAGTCTCTTAGATTTAAAAATTAAAACCTGGCAGGCTATTCTAACACTGAAAAAACAGGATGATGCAGCGATGACATGCATGGACTCTGGCTTGCACATTTTGTGGTCAGCCCTGATCCTGACACTTACAACTGTGTGACAAAGCCAATTACCTAAGTTCTCTCTGCTTCAATTTTTCCACCCATAAGATGGAGGAAAATGGTACTACTGCCTCAATAGGATTATGTTATGTACTACTTTTTATAATCAGGGCAAAAAAAATGTAGCTGCCTATACAACAGCAAGATTCCTTTCACTTGTATGAAAAGTATGGTCACTAGTGCATGCAACGTCCCGGATTGCGAGAGGGATGTCCGACTGCCAGTTTAGGCCTGATATTCCCGAGGGGTCCCAGATTGCAAGAGGGCACAGGCCAGGCTGAGGGGAGCCCCCCACCCCCCCATGCATTAATTTTGTGCACTGGGCCTCTAGTATGTTATAAACGTTAAGAAGTCCATCAGCAGGAATATTTTAAAATACATAAAAAAGAAGTCTTCTGCCTCTACAGATTCATTCTACTTTCTCATCAGAGAGTGAAACATTAATAGATAACTTACCATGAGCAAAACCAACAGACATCCACAGAGCAATCAGTTGTGCCGTCTCAGATACCACAATGGAAAAAAATTCCTAAAGAAAATTTCAGATTTTATAAAGGCTAGCCAACAGATGACTAAATAAATAGAAATTATATATGGAATAATATAAAATTATTCAATTAGAAATAATATATAAAAGGCTCATACACAGCATGATGACCAGGCTTTCTCCATATTCAATAAAAAAAAAGGAAAAAGTGCCCTGTCTGGTGTTGCTCAGTGGTTAGAGCCTGGCTCATACACCAGAGGGTCTCAGGTTCAATTCCCAGTCAAGTGCATGTACTTGGGTTGCAGGTTCGATCCCCAGCCAGGGTGCAGGAGGCAACCGATGGATGTCTTTTACATGGATTATTTCTTTCTCTTTCTCTCTCTCTCTCTCTCTCTCTCTCTCTCTCTCTCTCTCTCTCCCCCCC